AACTTAAATTTCTATTATGCAGCAAATTCATAAAGTAGGGAAAGTCTTTTTCCAACATTTTCAAGACATTTTCTGTTAGGACATGGTCTTTCTTCAGGTGGCTTTTACTTGGGATATTGAGAGGTAAGATGGCGGAGTGGTGACAGTTCAGGTTGAGGAAGGCGAGGGCTACCGTAACAAAGAACCACACATTAGGTGGCTTAAAGCAACAGACATTGATTCTCTCACAGTTCTGGAGGCCAGAAGACCCAAGTCACGGTGTTGGCAGGGCTGTGCTCCCCCGAAGGCTGATAGGATGAATGCTGCCTTGCACACCCCGTCTTTGGTGCCCTGCTGGTGTCCCTGGCACCACTTGGCCTACAGACTCATCATGCCAACCTCTGCCTCTGTCTTTACCCGGCCTTCTCCCCTGCGTGTCTGTGTTCAAATGCCCCTCTTCTTATAAGGGCACCAGTCCTGCTGGATTCCAGGTTCCACCCTATCCCGATATAGACTCACCCTAACTAATTGCATCTGAAAAAACCTTACTTCCAGACAAGGTCACATTCCCACGTTCTGGGTGGATGTGACTTTGAAATGATTATCAAGTAGATCCAGTTCCATTTACAGTAAGGAGCAGAGAGTGAATGAGGCATTAATGCACTTTCACATGGCACGAACACCTGACATTCACTGAATTTTAATAGAAGCTGGCATTGGTGCTAACTCCTTACACACTTTATGTCAGTGGATTCTCACTGAAGGAAGTTGCTATTTTATCCCACTTTACAAATGAGAAAACTGAGATGCGGAGAGGTCACCAAGTCAAACTCAAGCAACACCCCAGTCCCCCGTGGTAATCAGGCTGAAGCGATGACTAAATGCCATTTGCTCCTGATGACACCGTCACAAGCACTGAAGCCACCAAGGGCTGTTGGGCCTGTGCAGAGGAGAGGCAGACTCAGGCCCTCCCCATGGACGGGAGGGCTGTCTTCCATGTACACCTTGGTCGGAGTCCGCAAGGGTGGGGAGGTGACTGTCCACTGGCCTTTGGTTTGCAATGCCTTTGCTGGCGCT